CTACACAAATCAACTGTGTTTCAGCTCAGTAGGCACGGGAGGCAGAGCCCAGGGAGGCCCAGGTGGTGGGACAGGCGGGGAGAGGCAGCAGAGCCAGAGGAGGTGAGGGCCCGGGGGGCGGAACTTAGCCACTGTGAACACGACTTGGTGCAGACCCTGCTCACAAGCAGCTAAGCCCTGCTCCCCAGGCCAGATGTACACGGTGGGGGCCTCTCTGCCACCTCATCCCTGGGCAGCATCCTTGGTGGCGGTGGCGATGGCCCCAGAGGCAGGGCTCAGGGTCGGTTGGAAATCCCTGGCAATGTGATTTGTGACAGGCAGCAAATCCCATCCCCAGGAACCCCAGCCGGCCATGGCACAGGGTTAGGGGGGCACTGGGCGGGGCCAGCGGCTGGCACCTAGGGAGGAGAGAGCAAAGGAGATAATGAGATTTGAGGACATCTGCCTTCCGTGTCCTGACTTCTGCTGTCCTCTGAAGCCTTGCAGGGATACCCTCTCCCCATGTGCACCAGCAGCTGAAGGGAGAGCTAGATCACCAGGCTCGATGCTCCTGTCCCAGCCATGCCCTCTGTCCCAGGCCCAGAGAGGAAGAGATGCCGGAGGGTCCCTTTGAGCCAGGAAGGCTTCAGGGACTCCCAGAGCCAGGTCTCCACCACAACAATGCCCTGTTCCCATCCACCCCCCATCACCACCACTGAGCCCTGGGCAGGCTAAATGGGGCCATGGGGAGAGGAAGCCGAGGGGGTGGCGGGCAGGCGGTTGAGGAAGTGATCTCACCCCAGCTGGCGCCACTTCCTAGAAGCCTGAAGGGCAGGAGGAAACCACCAGGGCCTCCCCCCGTGGTCCCGTCTCCTCGGCAGTCAGGCCTCAGCCCTCGCCCCACTGGAGCAGATGCCAGCAGTGGGCACCCGGGAACTGGAACAGGTTTGAGGTGCAAAGCCAAGCTCAGCGGTTTCCCAAATGCCTACCAAGCTTCAGCTTCCCCATCTATACAATGGAGCCGAGGGCCTCCACCTCATAGCACAGTGAGGTTTCACCGAGAGTATGTACGTCCTTCAGCAAGGGCGCTGAACCGGGATCGCCTACAGAATTTGTGGGGCTCAGGGCCCTCATTCAGAAATTAGGAATTTCAAGATGTCGACGGCAGAATATTTAAACCAAGCTCCAGGTCCTTTGCAGGGTTTGGGGCAGGCGGGGGGGAGGGGGGGTGCAGCACGCAACCAGCCCTGTGTTCAGTAAGCAGGGTTCTGTGGCTGAGAGAGCCAACTCTGGAGCCAGGCTGGCTGGATTTGAATCCCAGCTCTGTAGCTTCCTAGCTGGGTGGCTGGGCAAGTCAATCAACCTTTCTGGGCCTCCTTTTCCCCGTCTATAAAGCAGGGATACTGTGGTGGTAAGGATCCCATGAGGATTACATGTAATTAGGACAGTGCTATATTGTCATCAGGAACCAGGAAGAAACAAGAAGGATAATGGAAATGAGGACACCACTCACGGGTAGGACCCCAGCGCCCAGATCTGGTGGTGCCCACCACTCGGAGACAGGTGGAGAGATGTCCTACTCTGTCCCCCAACCTCCATACACACAAACATAACTGGCCACCCACTGTCTCATAGGGCCCCAGCCCAGCCCTGACCCCTCAGGGTTTGGGGGCACCAACCAGGAGCAGACAAGGCCCCGAAGGGCAGCCGGCCTCCCTGGGCCTCCTCCGGAAGTGAGACAGCACAATCATGTCCCAGGGACGAGAACGGGAAGGGCGGCCATTTGGCCAGGCCCGTTTCCTGTGGGGTTTCCCCTGCACAGAGCCCCGGGCTGGGGCCAAGGCCACTCCCCATCCTTGCAGGCACAAAAGGCCTGGGTCTTGCATAGAGGGGGCACTGCCACGCAGGTGCCCAGGAGCCAGGGCCCTTGCCTCTCAGACTCTCAAGAGATGGTGTCCAGAAAGGGCCAAGCTCCTGGCAGCTGAAGGCGTGGGGGGAGGGTGGGCCCTGGGCTGCACAGATGGATGCACGTGTGCCTGAGAATGCGCTGCAGACAGGGCGTGGAGGCATGAGACACACAGGCACGCATCTTGTCACCCCCCCCCCAACCCCATGTTCCAAGAATGAATATGGGCTGCTTCCGCCGGGGGCGCCACCACCACCGCCCCCAAGCCTGGTCCCCAAATACTTTCCACCCTCTCGGAGCAGCTGGGATCGGAAAATACCAAGGGCTACAGGCCCCGCCCTGCCGGCCGCCACCGCCCGCCCTCCCAGCCTGTCACTAACGCTTTGCCTAATGGGCCCAGACTCTCCGCAGAGGCTCCCTGGCTAGGGCCCCTGAGCCAGCCGCCAACCTGGGCCGCCCAGCCAAGGGCAGCCTGACCACCAGCACCCACCCCCCCCTCACCCGATCCCATCACCGTGACCATAACAACCCTCCGATGGGCAGCCCTCAGAGGCTGGCACCAGGGTGGAGGAAGGCAGGGCACTGGTAAGTGGGTGGGCCCCATTGCCCACCCAGGGCTGGGGGAAGGGGGCGGGCTCAGGAAGGGGTGAGTAAGTGAGGACTGAATCACTTGTTATAAATAGGGGAACCATGCAAGTCAC